CCAACTCCTCCAGGATGGCACATCAATATGTGCCATTGCCAGAAGGTTTGCTGTGTCTCCCAGCACAATCTGAAGAGCATGGAGGAGATTCCAGGAGACAGGCAGTTACTCCAGGAGAGCTGGACAGAGCCGTAGAAAGTCTACAACCAACCAGCAGGACCCATATCTGCTCCTTTGTGCAAGGAGGAGCACTGCCAGAGCCATACAAAATGACCTCCAGCAGGCCACTGGTGTGAATGTCTCTGACCAAACAATCAGAAACAGACTTCACAAGGGTGGCCTGAGGGCCCGACGTCCTCTAGTGGGCCGTGTGCTCACTGCCCGACACGGTGGAGCTCGATTGGCATTTGCCACAGAACACCGTTATTGGCAAGTCCGCCAGTGGCACCCTGTGGTTTTTTACAGATGAGAGCAGGTTCACCCTGAGCACATGTGACAGACGTGAAAGGGTCTGGGGAAACCGTGGAGAAGGTTATGCTGCCTATAACATCATTCAGCATGACCGGTTTGGTGTTGGGTCAGTGATTGTCTGGGGAAGCATATCCATGGAGGGACGCACAGGCTAGACAACGGCACCCTGACTGCCATTAGGTATTGGGATGAAATCATTGCACCCATTGTCAGACCCTATGCTGGTGCAGTGGGTCCTGGGTTCCTCCTGGTGCACGACAATGCCCGGCCTCATGTGGTAAGAGTATGCAGACAGTTCCTGGAGGATAAAGGAATTGATACCATTGATATGTCCCCACGCTCGCCTGACCTAAATCCAATAGAACACCTCTCGGACATTGTTTAAATCCATCCGACGCCGCCAGGTTGCACCTCAGACTGTCCAGGAGCTCGGTGATCTGGGAGGAGATACCCCAGGACGCCATCTGTTGTCTGGGATACATACACGCATGTGGGGGCCATACACATTACTGAATACCATTTTGAGTTGCTGAAATGAAATTTCGGCAAAATGGACTAGCCTGACGCATCATTTTTTCCCTGTAATTTTTGGGGTGTCTTTGAATGCAGCCCTCTGTAGGTTGATAATTTTCATTTCCATCTAATGATGTGGCATCCTTTAGTTCCTAACCCATCACCCAGTCCATATCAGTATAAATAAACAGCAGGATTTTTTTTCCCCCATTGAGATCTGATTTGTTTTCAAAGTGTTTTTTTTTTTGTTTTTTTGAGCAGTTTATTAACTAAAGGAAGCCTGGATTTGGAGTCACACACAAAACTAAACAGACTAAAGGATGATCCAGCTGTGATGCAATGTCCTTAAAACAGGTGAAAATTATGCTCTGTACTGTGTGTGGCCTCCATGTGCCTCTATGACCTCCCTACAACACCTGAGCATGCTCCTGATAAGGTGGAAGATGGTCTGCTGAGGTATCTCCTCCCAAACCTGGACTAAAGCATTGGCCAACTCCAGGAAACTGTGGTGCACTGTGACATTGGTGGATGGATTGAGACATGATCGGATTCAGGTCTGGGGAATGGGTGGGCCAGTCCATAGCTTTAATGCCTTCATCTTACAGGAACTGCTGACACACTCTGGCCACATAAGGTCAAGCCTTGTCCGCTATTAGGGGGAACTCTGGGCCAACCGCACAGTCATACGGTTTCACAAGGGGTCTCAGGATTCCATCTCTGTACTTATTGGCAGTCATGCTACCATTGGGGAGCACATGGAGGTCTGTGTGGCCCTCCAAAGAAATGTCACCCCACACTATTACTGACCCACTGCCAAACCGGTCATGCTGAAGGATGTTGCAGCCAGCTGATCACTCTCCATGGTGTCGCCAAACTCTGTCACATGCTCAGTGTAAACTTGTTTTCATCTCTGAAGAACGCAGGGCACCAGTGGTGAATTTGCAAATCCTGGTGTTCTCTGGTGATGGAAAAGTCAGGCCATCACTTTGTCTGGCCCCTGTGGTCCTCCTGTTCCTCCTTGCGCAAAGGCTGAGGTAGCAGTTCTGGGTTGTTGCCGTCCTGCAGCCTCCTCCACGTTTCCTGGTATACTGTTCACAGAAGTTTAGTTTAATTGCAGTTATATTGGAGTTATACCAGTGGCGGTATTGATATTGTGTAAAAAGATCAATACTTTTTTTCTCTCCAGCAGACACTGACTGCACCTCCAGTCTCCATGTCTATCACAGCACTTTGCTGCTCTCCCTCCCGTCTCATTGCTGTCTTGCACCATCACATGGCTCAATATATATTTTATGGTGTGTTAAGCTTCTTTGTCATGACTTTGTTTTAACTGCTTTAAACTTAATTTTTTTAGTTTTCCATTATTCAATAGTAAAGTAAAAACAAATCGTAAAAATACCAAAAGGTAAACAGTTTCATGTGGGGAGTGGCGGTTAGGGCATAGAGCAGGGGTGGGCAACTCCAGTCCTTGAGGGCCGGTTTCCTGCAACATTCAGATTCATCCTTGGTGCAACACACCTGAATCAAATGGTTGAATTACCTCCCCAGAATGCAATCAATTTCTCCAGAGTCCTTTTAATTATCTATTTACTTGATTCAGGCTTGTTAAGTAAAAACATATCTAAAAGTTTCAGGATACAGGCCCTCCAGGA